AAATCTAATCTATCTATATTTTAACCCCTACTGAATTCAAAATGAATGGCAATAAATAAATAACTAAATAAAAAGTAATCTTTAATCGTGAAGAAGACCTATATGTGATGAAGAGAAGATTACATGACATTTCTTCTTCTTAGTTTGCATAGCAAATGAAGGATCACTTGAAAACATATATAATAACAATATCTTCATTTGTGCTTCTCTTTTAAAGGCATGATTAACTTTTAAAGGCATGATTAACAACCTTAACTTCTTCAGTATTTTCTATGGATTGGGCTCTTGCACCTAAGACATAGTGTATAGCATGAAATTAAATTTTAAGCACTTGGACTCCTTTGATGCATGTTTTCTTTCTTGTAAACTGAGATAAAAGCTTGCCTTAATGAAGTTAAAGAAATGCACATTGATAATGCTTTAAAATATGTCCAAATTATGCCTACTTTTCTTGTCAGAAATAAAAAAGTAAGACTATTATTAGGAATATCTTCCTGGAATATGGAAACGTTATTGTAAATTATATTGCAAACTATACTTTAAGCTGTGTGTGTATGTGTTTGTGTGTGAGGGTTTCCATCCATGTGTAGGCAGGCTTCATTTACACAGAATAGGGAAGGTTATATGTGGCAGTTGAATCAACCTGATCTCATCACTTCAAATGAATCTCGCTAGGTATTTTTTTCAAGCCACAAGTCAAAACAAAGCCCCTACTCTAGCAGGTGAAATAGAGAAACCATATAAACATATGGATAGAATAGCATATATATCAGAAGAGAAAGGTCAGTTTTATTACTATTGCTAATTATGCATTTGAATTGTGCATTTCTGTGCTCTGTAAGTGGATGGCTCATATTGATTATGCATTCAGATGTCCATCAGATTTGGCCACAGCCTGGATAATGGATAATTTATAGCAAATATTTATTTATTCATAAATTGGTAAAAATGCCAAGTCTGAACTAACTCTGTGTCAGGTCTGTTTCTCTGGTATGCTGGAAAAAGTGTCCATATTGGGGAGAACTTGTGATTTACTCAAAACACCATGATAGAGAGAGTAAGCAAGTAAGCAAATATATTGCTGCAACTACAGGTCATTACATAGGAATGCTATAAAAAAGAATAATATAACAACAAAACAATGTAATTATAAAATAAAAATAGAAATATTAGATATAAAAGGTTCTAACAAAATAAAGCCAAAGCTACAGATAAGAATGTATAGCTGAGCAAAAGTAGCAGCTTGATTGCAGTTAGTTGGAAACACATCTGCAAGGAGATAAATCAATTTTTCAAGTCAGACCCCTTGAATTCATCTCCCATTAATAATTGGACCCTGATCACAATATGGAGAGGATTAGATGGGAAGGGAAAAATAATATTAAATTCAGTGACTAAAAAAAAATGTGCTCTCAAGTAGAGAGACCAGTGGAATGGCGTCCTATTAACTACCAGCATCTCTGTCTAATCTGGATTTAATTTCACCTTACTTGTTCATAATCCAGTGCATTCTCAAACTTCAGCAATGACCAATGTAATCGACTGCTTCTTTGGAGTTAGATGGCAAGATGCTGAAAAACAAGGCTTTATCAACATAAAAGCTTTATCAACATACTGATAGCATCTCACTGATGTGATTGGTTCCCTTTCCCACACCCAGGGAGGAGATGTTTCAGCTGGTTCAGAATGCAATGACATGGACAATGAGAAGCACGCATCCATGTGTCCATGTAACACTTCTGCTTTGTGAGCTAGATTGCTCTCTGGTTTGCTTCTAGGTGCAATTCAAGGTGCAGGTTGATACCTATAAACCCCTATCTGGCTTAGGGCCTCGTTATTTGAGGGACCATTTGTCTTCCATAATATCTGCATATTTATTTATTTATTTATGAGTCTTATATACCGCTTTAAGTGCAAGCACTCTCTAAGCGGTGTACACCAGTAAGCAATGTGTGTATGTATGTATGCATTGCCCCCAACAATCTGGGTCCTCATTTTACCTACCCCGGAAGGATGGAAGGCTGAGTCAACCTTGAGCCGGTGAGATTTGAACCGCTGACCTGCTGAACACAGTCAGCTAAAGTGGCCTGCAGTACTGCACTCTAACTGCTGCGCCACCTCGGCTCTTTATCTGGTTCAGTCTGACTGGATTTGTACACTCTGGGTTACATTAATAAACAATGCCACCTATCCGGCCCCTGAAGCGCACCTTCTGTGTAACAGTGCCAGCCCTCTCCATTGAATCCTTCTCCCAATTCAAATGACTCCCCCCCCCACCATACTAGCATTTTCAAGGAAACTAAAAATCTGGCTCTCCACCCAGTGAGAACAACTGACACACCCCTTTGTTCTTTTTTTCTTCCCCTCCAGGATTGTTTCCTTACCATTGCTGTTCCTTTGTCTTGTGCTAGTTTTGTGTTGTTCTTTGTTTTTAAATGTTTTTAATAATTGTAAACTGCCCAGAATAGCTGACAGTCAGGCAGCATATAAATATAATCGATGATAAAATAATTGGCTCTTATGACATACCCCAGGGTTAATAGTTTCAAACAATAGTGCCCTTGCTTCATTTTCTTGGGAGATTATGGACCATAGCTAAACAGAGGTTCACAAAATGCCAATAGTCCAGAAGTAATAGGGTTTCTTTCCTTGTAGCCAATTTGTGGCAAAAGTGACTCATCAATCTGACCAAAGTTTTCTTGTAAATGTATTCTATCTGAAAACTCAAGAGAATCGATCCAAATAACTGATACCCTCGGATGAGCCTAGAATTTCAAGGCTACTATCTTTATTACTGTTTTAGCCACAAGTAATTAGCACAATAATGTCCTAATTCTTCCAGGTCAAGGGAAGGTTATTTAGTGTTTGACTTTATTTCTGCATCCTTGCAAAGGTGGTGGGGGGGGGGCAGAAGGAAAAATTTAGTAACTGCCATAAACATGAAGCTGGCCATTGTGTGTCTGACTTAAACTAGAATGTTAAGATTTATAACCTTTATTACTCTAGATGTCCTGTTCCCATCTTGGGGATTCACAATAGAAGAAGCAATAGGAGAAACTGTTGTCACAATTATATTTTCAATATTCTGCCCCACCATTAGAATCCAAATAAATGTAGGTCCAATCAATTATTTCAGCTAACAGTGATAATCTCTTATGTTGCCTTAGTTCCTAACCACAAATTCTCAAGAATAAATTTCATCATTCCTTAAGAAAAAGACTTTTATTTACATGATGCCCCCAATGTATTTCTTTGAAATGTAGTAGGATTATCCATTAAAAGATTATTTTTAAAGTGCTCATAATATTTGGGACCTATTTTATTATTTTATTTTCTGCAAAATACAAAATACCAAAAAGTATCTGGTTCTTTTCCTTTGCCAGATTATGAAGGAACAAAGATTATGTTTCTCTATTGTCTCCTGATGTAGGCATAGAGTTGTACTGGGTTAATTACAGAAAAATTTGGATGGGAATCGAATCATCTTTCAAGCTCTGGATGAGCTTCCTAAACTGTAACAAATTGTTTGGTCATACTGCTTACTGTATGTGCCTATAATTGGAGCTTTTAATGAGAGTTGTCATCTCTCTTAGAGAAAGAGAAAGAATCACTTTCATTTGCTTAGTTTAAATTCATAAATGCAGATTTAAAAGTATATGTTGATTATGACAGAGATTAAAGGTAAATGAAATTGAGAGGGAGTTTTGTAAAGCAATCCTGTGAAATCCTATCTATGGGAGACTTTTTCTTTTACCACTTCCACTTAACATTCTAGATTTCAATTAATAACCTGTCTTTTACAGGCAACTGTAAGTAAAATATCTTCCTGTGACTTTGCTGCTTTTCCTGCCACCCTATCTAGAAAGGTAAATGTGAGGTTATTGAGATAGATTTGTATTGCTTTTGCTGTCTGTTCTCTTCTGTGAGAAAAGAACTATATTGGTTCTATTTCGTGCTCCATAATTTCCTAGAACAATAGCATCAGCTCTCTATATTCCTCCAATTGGACTGGAAAACACAGTCTGAAATTTGTAAGTAAGGCTTCTGTTGCAGAATGTTGATAGTGAGTGGTTCTTGTCTGAAGTGTAAGTGCTACTTTACTACCGTAATGTTGTACGATTGGATCTACACCACTTTGCCTGTATCACTTGAATAAGAGCACAGAGAAGGCATTAGAAACAATCTGAGCTGTGCAATTTTGTAAGCTTAGAACATATGCTCCTTTTGCCCTTAAAATAGACACTTTTTTTATTTTCTGCATGAACAATTCAGCACATATCTCAGCAGTACTGTACGTCTGTTGTTTACATGAATAGTGTTGTTGTGTGAACAGTAGATACATAGAGGAAGTTTCCAAGAGAAGAATGCCTATGAGTGAAAGAATAACATAACCAAAATGCATCACAATTTTTACACTAAAAGGAATGAATTTACCTAATTCCTTCTCTTTGAGCACTCTATGTAATAATAACTTGAAAAAAAATGATTTCATTATTTTTTTAAATCATGAATCATACCTGATTTCTTTATTTTCTCTTCTTCTGACATGTGAAAATATTATGATTAGATTAGCATGGAGTTAATACAGTGTTTTTCTCCTTCCTCCTTCTGCTTGAGAGAATATAATACAGTGAAACAATTAAATAAAATAAATTTGCTTTTATGTACATTTATTTATTTATTTTAGATATTAAAGAATAGTTACTCTGGTAGTCCCATCAGTGTTTAAGCATTCGTGAATACTGTATCATTAGATTTTTATTAGTATTAGTGTTATAGTATTATTTCTATTATAGTAATGCTATTTCTCATTCTGTTACAATTTCACTTGAGGAATATATATTTTCTCTCATATTAATAAGATGGCTTGAGAAAGGTATACCTTCAAATGATATGAACTTTAATTTACCTATTGGAAATAGTACCTTACAATAGATATTGTATTTCCCAGGGAGGGGACAGTTTTCAGGTTTGTCTAATAATGTTTCTCTCTTCTGCAGATATTGATGAATGTGCCTTAAAGACTCACACTTGTTGGAATGATTCAGCCTGTATAAACTTGGCAGGGGGGTTTGATTGCCTCTGTCCATCTGGACCTTCCTGTACAGGTGATTGCCTGCATGAAGGGGGCCTGAAACGGAATGGCCAAGTATGGACATTGAAGAAAGACAGATGTTCTGTTTGCTCCTGTAAGGTAAGTTCCTATGAAGTTCTTTAAAAAAAAACACTTCTACCTTGATTTGGTGTTCCTGTCAGTTTTGGGTAAAAGTCCATCTTCAGAATGATAGCTGAGGCGGCAGACATTCAGAAATTCTATCAGTGACTAGAAAGAGCTGGATTAAAAGACAGCACACACTGAACACAGCACTACAAGAACAGGTACTAAGCACCAGATTTATAGAGCAGAGGTCCCCAAACTTTTGGGCACCAGGGACCAGTTCTGTGGAGAGAGGTTTTTCCATGAGGGGGTATGGTTTTGTGTGCTGCCTGAATCTTGTGGATGGGGCTTTGCTTATTTGTGCAGACTGGTTGCTGGCATGTCACAGCCCGGTACTGGTCCATGGACCAGGGGATGGGGATCCCTGCTATAGAGGCAAGGTTCTACCACACTACACAAAATTCAAGGTGCAGCCTGTTCAGAAAGGCCTCAGAAACAGTCAACCTATAGTGGAAGGGTAAAAGATGCAGGTACAAGTACCTGGCATGGTGTATGGAAACTTATGTACAGTGTGTACATATATACCGAGTTTTTTTGTTCCATATTATGTGTTCAAACAATATTATTGCAGAGTAAAGTTTTAAGAGTTTATAGATAATTTCTGAGTGAATGAAGAAGGAGTTGATAAGAAAAAAATATCCATATGAGCTCTCTAATTTTATGACTTTGGGGTCATGGCAGTAAGACACACATTTTTTTCCCATATCCACATGTTGCTTCTAAGAGTATGTTGCTATATTTGAAATAAACTTTTCTTTATAGACAAAAGATGCCCATTGAACTTCACTTGCTTATAACTTTATTTCATTCCATGACAGTTCATTTATAAATTCAGCTGTGTATTTGAAATTTCACGATGCTGGTTTGATTATTACTGTTTTTATTCTATATTGAGAACTTAGGGGTTTGCATTTTATGTTCTTTTTTATTGTCAGTTAGTGGGTGGCTTGTAAAGATTCTGAAATAAATTCATTGAAATAAGTTAATTAAATGAAACAAAATTCAGGATTTCTTACACAGTTCTATAATTTGACTGTGGCCAGCTGTTGTTGTTGTTGTTGTTGTTGTTGTTGTTGTTGTTGTTGTTATTATTATTATTATTTTAAAAGCATATGAAATTTTCAGTTCAGCTGAAGTATTTCTTTGGATCCTGTCCTACTGTAGACCTTAGAATTTACATCTATAAAAGCCATTATCTGAATTTCTCTGTTGACATGGATTTTCTGATTATTATAATTTATACCGACATTCATATATCTGATCACTGGTGATCATATAGACCCAAATTCTTAGGTCCTTCTTTGACTTAAGGGAAGGTCAGTGCCAGGTTGATGGAGTCCAAGGCCTCCTTAATCAGCTTTTTAAGATTTATCTTAGAGTGAATCAAGACTAAAAGGGCAATCAGCAGTGAACATTGATATTGGTAAGCAGCTAATTATGACTGGGAAAAATAAAGATTTGACATAGTTTCTTATTCTCTCTTTATACAGCTTTCAGTCACAAGAAAAAGTACTAGTTGCAAACAGTGGCTTTATCTTCAATGGCCATTGCCTGTACAATGAATCTTGAAAACAAGGTCAAGAGTCTAGTAGGAGGAAATTAGCACAGAGAGGCATCAAAAATCAGGAAATAAGCATCTCATACTACTAGAATTCCTATATTATGGAAAGCCATGGGTCATTTAACCATGGGATTTTATATAGATCATGATTTTCTGGATTCACATTATGTCCTTAAGTCACTTTTATGAACTACAGAGACTGAATTCATACAACATACAACATACTAATCCAGAATTCAATAAACCATCTGTAGCTTCTTCAATATATTTGCTATATTTCTTTCTTTACTTTTCAAAACACCCATCTCATAAAACAATTTTTCTCAGTTCATGAAGTCTGTGAATATTTATCTCAGAATATTTCTGTAAACAATACTATCCTGAGTAGGCTACACTGTTTCTGATTCAATGACAGTTTGCTGGAATTACATACATGTTTTTCTCAGCATTTGGTGCATTTGAGAATGATGAAGTTACTATCAAAGCACACTATTTACAGCACTTTCAATTACAAAGTTATTAATTAAATCAGAGTATTAAATTTTATTTAATATCCTTTATTAAATAGTTCTAGTAAATTGTATACTTTTTCCTGTACTTTTAATTGATTAAAATGGAATCCTCTGCCTTTGCCATAAAATAAAATTGAATAAAATGTTCCAGGAATGAGACCATAGCTTGTGAAAATGTCTGTGAAAGGTCTAATTGATTATTACAGCTGCGTGTATGTAGAAAAAGATAGTCAATCCCTAACTGATGTTATCCAGTGCCGTAAAATTGCGATATATGAAAAATAGCTCTTCTTCCTTTTCTGGAAAGGACAAGAGATTATTGCAGCTACTATTAAACATAATCTTATAACTATTCACTTTGAGTCAGTTTGGATTTAATTAAATAATAAATAAAAAAGTGTTTGTTCCTATTCATGAGGACAAAATATTTACTAGAAGTAAAATCCTAACATCGTAATTAATGAACTGCTAACAACATTCACTACCTTTAATAATCTGAGGCAGATTTATTTTATATTCTCAAAGAGGGTCCTTCAAATCGTATGAGATGAAGATGAAAACAATAATGATGATGATGATCATCATCATCATCATGGTGATCGTGATCGTGATCATGATCATTGGATTGCTACAGACTTCTCTTTAATCCTTTTTGTTATAGTTGTTTTCGGGCCAAATGCGGGAAGTTTAGATTTTAGCATTTAGCATTTCTGTATTTTAAAAAAATTAATGAGAGACAGATATCCAAAATTGGTGATGGGCTCCAAAATGAGTGGATGAAACTTAAATAGAGGTAGGCTAATTACCTTCAAAACTTGATTCAGTCTAGCTCAACATGTCACCATATATTTGAAATGCTTTATGTTCTGAATAATGAAATATAAACCTTGAACAAACAGGAACACAACACAACACACATTTTTCCCGTATCCATATTTTACTTCCAAGAGTATGTTACTATATTTGAAATAAACTTTTCTTTATAGATAAGTGATGCCCATTGAACTTCACTTGAGATCTTTCAATTTATAGTCTCCTATTTGTTCTTTTTTACCAAGTCAGAATCAGAATGCACATAATCTCAAAAAGCAACACATATTTTAGGCACATTTACACTTGTTACAAACAAATGCATATGTGCCATTAAATTCCTTCTTTAGTATAAAACAGAGACCTGGAAAACCAGTCTATAGAAAGGAAGCCTTGCCTTATGGACCACCTTTCCTACTTTGCCCCAGATGTCTCATGTTTATGACTAAGTTTTTGAAAGAAATGAATAATTCAGCTTAATCTATATAAAATATTTTGCATAATTGAGAAATTCTCCTTATCCGCTTCAATTACCTCTGTGTTCTTGGTTACATGAACTAGTATAACAGCATATTGGGTAGGGCACAGTTATTGTCCTCCTACTGATCTTCTTCATCATAATGGGAAACTACAGTTAGAAGACTTTGGATCGAAATCTCTGTTACCATTTTTCCCCACCCATTGATCCTCTGAATGCATTATTTGTTGAAATTTTCCATTTTCTACAGTTGAAAGTTATTTTATAGCCGGGTCTGCTACATATTAAGTTTTGGCTGTCTTTCACAGTCAGAGATTTCTCAACTTCATTTTAAAAAAATGAATAAAAAGTGCTGTACATAGTTTAGATAAGGGGAAAAGTAATGAGGAGTTCATCTAACTATGTACTGCACTTTTTATTCATTTTTATTCATTACTTTTCCCCCTTATCTAAACTTCATAAATATGAAATGTGTTATGCTTTTAGGGAAAAATGTGCATTCAGTTTGTACTTTATTCCCCCTGGTGCAATTGAACATGCCTTATTTTACTGCATATTTAAGTTGGATTTATACTAATAGCAGTCATTGTAATTATTCCCTCCTTCTCCTCCTTCTCTCTTTCTCTCTATCAATATACATAATGTAAAATACAAAAGAATAATAGGTATACTCCTAAGTAACAAGGTATAAAATATTGTTTTAAAAATTGACTTCTAATCAAGATATATTTATAGACTTTTATTCTCTGGTATGTATCATACTAAATATAGAAAGTACATTCACTAGTTTGTACAATACATTTAATATGTTTGATTATTATCACTTTATATGATTAACTTTGTTTTAAATTGCAGAGTTCTTTCCCCCCCCTTATTAGTACAAGGATAAACATTTGTGGAGATTGGAAAAAAGTATGCATTTTTTTTCTAGAACTCAGGAGTTTTCTTTCCTCACTTGAATTATTTTATGTTTAATAAAATATTATTACTGTTGATAAAACACCCTGAGTCAATTCCAGTCAGTATTGTTAAAGGGGGAAAGATCCAACCCAAGCCCTCTGCTATGGCAGAGATCATTTGTCACCACAGGGTCACATATTATCTATATGTCAATGATATGCAGTTCCATATCTTGACCCTTGGTCAGACAAATGTTGGTGTGGAAATCCTGTCACAGTGTCTGGATACCATAAGGGTCTGGATGAGGAGAAAAAGGCTTAGGTTTAGCCCTAATAAAATTGAGTGTCTTGAGTGGCAGGTTAAAGGACCTACCAGTCATAATGATTTACCATCTTTAATTTTGGATAGTGTGGCACTGCCCCATATAGAACTGATATGTAATTTGGTGATCTTTCTGGTCCTAGGGTCCTGCTCATCCTATATGCCTTACATCTCTTCTTGGATCAGGAGGCCCTTCTTTGTTACTCATATCCTAACCAACTTCCATTTGGACTGATGAAATAAGGTCTCTAAGGCCACCTAGAAGCTACAAATGCAGTTATGAATGCAATTATAGGCATCCATGTAGTACAATTATAGACAGTTTTTCACTTCAGAGTCACAAGAGTAGATCACATGGCAGGGCAGACAATCTGTAAAATGGTGATATTTTCTAAAAAGCATTCTTAAAAATTAATCAATCAATAATACTTAGGATACAATGGGGAGAATGCTCATTTCTCACCTGTTGAGAATAATTTAGTTTAGAAATCAGTTGGTCAGCCAAAACATTAACAAGACAACATATCTTAATATTCCTTTCAAGTAGAACCTCTTCCAACCTGAAGATAAAAAACTCAGCCAGGCAAGTGCAGATTCTGCTTCCTTACATTCCTATAACACTTTTTCTAATGTTTTTAAATTTTGACCAGTTTTTCTATAGGCACCATTGTTACACTTACATAGCAAGACCAAGCAAGTCCATACAGTAGATTGGGGTTTTTTGGGGGGGGGGGTTGTTATTGATGGCTGTAGTGCTCTTTAATGATATTTTTGTTTGCACATATTTTTGTTTGCTATTTTGTTTAGCAAGCACATGTTTGCACTGCTTGCTAAAAAAAAAGCTGTGCATTTCACAGTGCACATATAATTCACAGGTCTGAGAGTAAACTCCAGTTAAAAAACTGGTCGCCATGATTTCACATTGTTCTATGTATAATAAAAATAAATGAGTCTGGCAAGAATTTAGTTTTCTTTTCTTTGGCCATAGGTTTAAATGCTTCCTTACTCTTAGTTCTCAACTCTTATCTTGCAACTTGCAGAATAATCAGAATGGGTACATTTTATTTCAGTTTTGAAGGAAGCTATAAACAAGGATGGTTGAAGTCAGCACATCTGGAGGGCAAAATATTCCACATATTTCTTTTTCAGGATAGACACTGAGCTTCAGTTTGATTGTGTGGTTTTATTTCTTGAGCTAAGTACAGCTGTCCTTTCGGATGTCCAAAACAAATATTTCATTAATGGATGTGTTAATTAAGGGTCTCCATAAGTTGCACATTAAATAAATGGCAATATAAATGCAATATTTAAATATGACCCGCTAACTCATTGTCAAACTCATTGTGATGGGTATATTAATTTATAACCTTTTATTTAGTGGCATTTGCTTTTATTGCTTCTTTGTTTCCTTAACAGGATGGCAAGATCTTCTGTCGAAGGACAGCTTGTGATTGTGAAAATCTCAGTGTTGACTTTTTCTGTTGCCCAGAATGTGATACCAGAGTGACCAGTCAGTGTTTAGATCAGAATGGGCATAAGCTGTACCGAAGTGGAGACAACTGGACATACAGCTGCCAACAGTGCCGCTGTCTGGTATGGAAGTAAAAGAGAAAAAAAAAGAGCCTTAGAGTTTATAATGATCAACCATATTCTAGAGTTCAGAATGTTCATTATGAACAAATCTATTCTTTTTTGACACAGCATTGCTATGTAGTTTTTCTAACATTTAGTCTCTTCAGAAAGCTGTTGCTGAGAGACTTAATAAGAAAGGGCCTGTCTCAGTCAAAATTAAAGCCATTGCAGTGCAATCATACACATACCAACTTAAAGTGATTATTTAGTGAGTTCAATGGAGCATGCCCTTAGGCAAATGAATATAAGGATTGCAGATTTAATCGTGTTTCTCAACAGAAAAAATGGACCTTCAATAATATTCTGAACAATCAGATTTCCATCTGATATAATGCTAAACCAAGTGGTAACAAACCTCAGCAGAATATTTCCTATTTGAATGTCACACAATTTCTTATTACAATCTAAGACAATTGTAGCTGTGAATGGAATCAGAGTCTTATACCAGTTTCTTTCTTCTTGTCTCTTGATTGATCAAGGCCTGGTTTAAAATAACTACTCAGTTACTCCTTGAGGGCTCCCAAAGGGCAGCAACAACTTTCCATACTAGGCCGACAGACTCAGGATAATGCTATTCCTAAACAATATAGCATTCTGCAGATGACCTAATGAAAAATATAATTCATGTAATATTTTGTCTGTTACAATAGGAACCAGAACGGCACATTTTGGGACTCCAAATGGAGCAGATTCTTCACACCTACATTATAATGGCAAGGAGTATAATATGTCCATTTCATTATTATGCAAAGACATTTGCTCTTTCATTAACTATCTGTATATATTCAAGAGCATTTCACCCATGTTGTCTGATCATGCAAAATCAGAAAAAAAGAATAGTGAAAAGTTTATGAATGATGGTGCATTTTTTCAAAATTGTTTGGAAAGTTGCTGGTTCGAGTAAAACACTGACTACAAAATACATATTAATCTCTACAATGTAATTGTTGCTTCTTTAAAGAAATGATAATATTCCTTATCCTAAAATCTTAGAATTTTACAGTTGGAAGGGGTCACACACTGAATCCAATTAATTCAACAAACGTGGACTTTCTTGTGTGTGACAACTTTGTCCCTGCAGTCACCCAGAATAGGCTGAACCACTTTATCTTCATCTCCAGAGGCTAAGACACCTTATCTTGCTTTCGTTCCATTGTGCTTTTAATTATACAAGATTGTAGTAAGTCTCTTGTACTTGCTGGAGAGCAATGCAATAAATTATTTACTAACACATTCTTAGATGACAGTTACAGTATGAATTCATAATACTTTGTAATTATTTCTTGGTATTTATGAACAATCATGTAGCATTTTGCTTTATTAAAATAAGCAAAATCATCACTATTAAAATGATGTGAGGCACAAGTGTTGTTGTTTTTCCTTTTTTCACTTCCAAATTAATATTTTGCATAAACCAGTAAATTTATTACAAACTGTGATGTCTGCAAGGGGAAGGAGGCTTCTAGACAGGCTTGGATCTTGAATGTCTGTATCAAATGTTTTCCCTTTGTACAATGCATAGAATAAATCGCAGAGAAGGTGACTGAAACGTCAAACTTCTGTGACTCAAAGATTAAAATAGTGAATGTTAGAGAAAGAGATAAAAGAAAAATCATATTCAATGCTGATTTTAAATTCTGTCTGTCTTTCCCTAACAAGAAGGCATATGTTCTACCAGGCAACTATAACAGGTGGGATAAAGATTCAGGATTGAATTCTGTGCCTGATAAAACACAGCCAAAGAATATCTGTTGATTTGGGATTAATTTAAAATTTAAGAATCAGATTAACTGCATCCAAGATTATTGAAAGAATTTGCTGATAATCTGCCAAACTTTATATAATAGAGGAAGGGCAACATTTGTTACTCACAAATGGGAAAACAGTATCCACAAAACTCCAGTTCAATCAGTCTAATACCACTTTTAGATATTTGAAAGATTCTACACTATATCATTTGGATTTCCAAATTATATTATATGTGTGTGAAAGGGAGAGAGAGAATGAGAAAGGGAGAGAGAGAGAGAGAGACTCTGGGTGGCCTATAAATTGGATTTATGACAAATTAATGTTAAATATGTTATTATATAATTGCCATATATAAAATAATTATGTTAATTATTAGCATTCAGCAGATTCTAAGGTACATTTTTAAAACACATAACTGACTTAGAGTTCCTTCAATGAAGCAATTTAATTTTTTGAATAGTTCATATATAAAGAGCATCTGATATCCTTAGTACGTTCTGAAGTCCAGCCAATGGAGCATCTGTCCATTGCATGGGGCAATCTTATCATATTTAGATAAAATATATTTTGATCAAAGAACCCAGATCCATGAACAAAGTGTCACTGCATTATTGCATAGCTTATTGTGTAACTTTCCATTACTGCCCTGGTTTAATGCAATTGCAGTCTAAATATCTATTTTTTTAATAATTATTCAATCATAATATTAATATTTTGATTACAGAAAAAGTTGTTTTTGAAGTTTTATGCCTTACACGAGTACCAATTTGTGTGTTGATGGGTCTCTTTTGTTTTTCATAGGAAGGTGAAGTGGATTGTTGGCCACTTGCATGTCCAGCCCTGAATTGTGATTACACAGCAATGTCAGAAGGAGAATGTTGCCCTCATTGTGTCAGTGACCCTTGTTTGGCTGATAATGGTATATATGACATCCAAAAAACCTGTCTAGATGACTATGGAATAACACGGCTAAGTGGTTCAGTATGGACAATGCTTGGATCTCCTTGTACGACTTGCAAATGCAAGGTATTTATATAGAGGTCAAACATGGTGTAGCACAGAATATATATGCAGACTGGATTTTCTTTTTAAAACAATTTTGCTATTTAATTTCAAACAGCAGTAAGGTGGTGCAGTACAATGAGTATACCATAATAAAATTATGCAAAACTAATTATGTGATTATCCTGGGAGGCTGAACCAGAACTATTCAATTGCTCTTTAACTTTAAATTAGTGTTCTTACACCTTGGAGAGTTTTTAGATATGCATATAGGATCTTCTTCTTCTTCTTCTTCTTCTTCTTCTTCTTCTTCTTCTTCTTCTTCTTCTTCTTCTTCTTCTTCTTCTTCTTCTTCTTCTTCTTCTTCTTCTTCTTCTTATTATTCTTCTTCTTCTTCTTCTTCTTCTTCTTCTTCTTCTTCTTCTTCTTCTTCTTCTTCTTATTCTTCTTCTTCTTCTTCTTCTTCTTCTTCTTCTTCTTCTTCTTCTTCTTCTTCTTCTTCTTCTTCTTCTTCTTCTTCTTCTTCTTCTTCTTCTTCTTCTTCTTCTTCTTCTTCTTCTTCTTCTTCTTCTTTTGCCATATCCGTTATCGGACGTTGGCGATCATGTTGACAATCCTGTTTTTGTCAGCAGCCACACGAAAAGTGCTGCTGAGTTTTGTCCAAACCAGTCCCTTAGATTTTTTTTTATTATTGAAAAGTTTTATACGAGTTTTAAACAATATCCCCCCCCTAAAATAACCCCTCCCTCCCTCCCTCACTTCCCAGAGCTGGTTACAGGGTTACAAATAAACAAACAAATTCTAAATAAACTTATCCAACTATACAAATAATAAAATCGATAATATACTTTAACTCAAATACAAAATAGGAAAAAAATTAACAATATAAGCATTTCCAAATTAAAATCTATAAATAATTCATAATCTGCATAATGCATTTTAAACCCATATCATAACCCATATTTACTCTACATATAATTTATCCATCTTCACCTCGCTGAGGTGTATATTTCTTTTAAAAACCATTCGTCCATAATAAACACAAAATTTTCCCTCCAATATAACCTAACCAACAAACTTACGTTCAATAAAATTGGCTCTTTGCTTTTTACCCTTAAGAAAGTCTATTAATACCCTCCTACTTAAAAAGTTTCAGCAAACCATTCATCTTCTAAAATTCTCACCAACAGAGATCATTAAAATTTTAAATTCTTTTACACATTTACCCATAATATCTCATAATTATTTTTCACTTTAAATTAAGAATTTATAATATATATACTCCCAAATATTTAAACTTTTCCACTAAATCAACATCTTCTATTATTCTTTTACTTTACATCTACATACTACACAAATCATTCACTGTTCCTTTAAAATTTGTATTAAATACAAATCATTCACTTTTCCTTTAAGACATCTTCTATCTCAAAAAATTACTACAAAAGTTCATCATTTCCTTTTCTTTATTCCAACATCCATCTTCTGCAGTTCTTTTATTTACATCTATAGGCTGCACGAATCATTCTCGGTTCCTTTAAAAAGTCTTCTGTCTCAAGAGACTGCTGCAAAGGTTCAGCCTGTTTGTCTCCCACATCCAATAGCATAGCACTTTCAACTGGCTGCTCTTCCAACTTTTCTTCTATTATCTCAGGTCATAAAGATAATGGAGAGCCCACCTTCAAAACCGAAATGTAAAAATCTTTTGCCTTTGACATTGTATTAAGTCTATAATATATCCCCGCATAATTCAGGACTATTCCAACTGGTATATCCCATCTGAATCGAACCTGGAGTTTTTTGAGCTCATGAACCAAAAAAGCAAAATCCTTTCTTTTTCTAAGAATTTTTGAAGGTATTTCTTTTAAAATTATAACATCTTGATCTGCAATTTGAAATCTCTGCTTATAAAAAGCCTGTAAAATTTCATTACGAAGTGATCTCCTAGAAAAATAGATAACCACGTCTCGTGGCAAATTCCTCTGTCTCGCAACCCTAGAATTAACCCTAAAAACTTTTTCCGTCTCTCTCAATATTTCTTCAGGCTCAGCCCCCAAAATAAGAGCTATATCTTTTACCACCACTTGTCTCAAATCCTCTTGAATATTTTCCTTCATTCCCCTTATTCTTAAAGCAAATTCCATGTTTTTGTATTGTAACATAGTAACTTCATCCTGTATTATTTCCACATTATTTTCCACTTTGTCAATTCAATCTTCCAGTTTTTCAAAATTTTCCATAATATCATCAATACGCTCATCCAGAAGATCTATGTAACCAACAAACTTTTGAAACACAAACGCTATGTCCTCTGTCAATTTAATGAATTTATTTTCAATAAAAACCTCCATCTCTTCTTTAATCTGTTGTGCCTTTTTTTCCAAGGCATCCTGTAAATCTTTAAGTATACATGCTGGAGACAATGGAGAAGGTGGTGGAAAGTTAGACTTAGCTTGCTGAGCTGTCTGCATTACCGGGAAGATCGAGGCTTTAGAAGCAACAGAAGCTCCGAGACGCTTTGAAGCCATTTTATTTTTAAGACCACTTGTAAAAAGTCTGCTAAAATCTTATAAAATCAACAAATACCCCCCCAAAAAAAAGAAAAAAGGAGAAGGGGAAAAAAGACAAAAGCCCCCTTAAAAGGAAAAAAGAAGATTCTTGCAATTTATACAAATACAAAATCTGTTACATTGTTCCAAGTAGAAGTTCCGGTCCTTTCACTCAATGAATCAACATCTCAGCGCCATTTTTCACCACTCTTAATTAAAGGAAGGAGAAGATAAGTTCTTTTCCAGAGTTAAAGTCAGAAATAATCCCCATTTTAGTCTCTACTGGTCAGCTCTGTCTGCTTTAAATTTTACTCACAAGTTCATTTTAAGCGCAGATGTGGAAGCAGCGTCTAGCTTTGCCCTGGAAAAATCAGGGCAAATGCATCCTGGAATGTGGAGAAAACACCCCAGACTCTGTGGGAGCTCACCCTCTGACCACCAAAAAAGAAAACTTTAGGGCATCAGGGAGCTCTACCACTATCTGAGGAAAGCTCACCTCCTCCTCTTCGCCCGGGGAGAGAGGTTCCAAGCCGCGAGACAGCTGTTGCTTGCTGTCTCAGCTGGCTTTGACATATCCCAGGATGGACGGCTGAAAAAAGCCACCATTGCCACAGCCATCACCTCCGGAAGTTCCCCTTAGACTTTGAAGCCATGATGTTCTTCTTCTGCCTGGACCTCATATGCCTTCAATCTTTCCCTGGAGGATTAAATAGAGAAAGCCGTATTTTTCTGGGTGTCACATCACATATCTGAACTATTCTAATTTTCATTTTTTAATTGTTTTGATGATTTCCCTTGGCTTTCCCAGACAGCTTATCACCTCCTCATTTATATAGGATATAGGATAGTGACATTTAGGATCATGACATTTATTACAGGTGTGCATTATAGTCTTATGTACTACATATACACATACATACCTGCCTTTTAATGAATCCCAGTTGTGGATGCCATATATTTATGTTAAATTAATAAATTCTAAGTGAAAGAACCCTCTCTCTTTTCCTTTAAAAGAGGTGAATCATGCAGAACAAAGATCAGAGAAGATATGGCTTTCAAGTGATATTTCCAAATTAATGAGGAGATGGTTTTTTGACATCTTTTCAAATTTTTAAAATTAATCATTAAAAATAAACAGACATTAAGACATTAATATCAGTTAAGTAGACAGAGAAATGGGAAAAATGTAAATTAGCACTCATAAAGGATAAAGGATTAACCATAAAAAGCAGAATGAGTTTTTTTTAACAAAAGAAAAAAAGGATTTTATAGATTTTCTTAATTCACTGAGACGGTTGCGAATATTTCCATTTATTTAGGGAAAAAAGAAGCAAGGAAAACAGTGAAAATTATTGAGTAAATAATAATAATAATGATGATGATGATGATGATGATGTTGTTGGAAGGGACCTTGGAGGTCATCTAGTCCAACCCCTGCTCAGGCAGGAAACCCTATACCATTTCAGAGAAATGGCTGTCCAGTCTCTTCTTAAAAACCTCCAGTGTTGGAGCATTCACTGCTTCTGGAGGCAGGTTGTTCCACTGGTTAATTGTTCTAACTGTCAGGAAGTTTCTCCTTTGTTCTAGGTTGCTTCTCTCCTTGCTTAGTTTCCACCCGTTGCTTCTTGTCCTGCTTCAGGCGCCTTGGAAAATAGCTTGACACCCTCTTCTTTGTGGCGATATTGGAACACTGAGATATTGGAACACTGCTATCATGTCCCCCTTCATCCTTCTCTTCATTAAACTAGACATACCCAATTCCAGCAACCGTTCCTTATATGCTTTAGCCTCCAGTCACCTAATCATCTTTGTTGCTCTTCTCTGTACTCTTTCTAGAGTCTCAACATCTTTTTTACATCGTGGTGACCAAAAATGGATGCAGTATTCCAAGTGTGGCCTTACCAAGGCATTGTAAAGTATTAACTTCACGTGATCTTGATTCTATCCCTCTGTTAATGCAGCCTAGCACTGCGTTGGCCTTTTTGGCAGCTGCAGCACACTGCTGGCTCATATTTAGGTAATTGTCCACTAGGACTCCGAGGTCCCTCTCACAGTTACTACTATTGAGCAAGGTACTCCCTATACTATACCTGTGCATTTGGTTTTTCTTGCCTAAATGTAGAACTTCCTTTTTTACCACTGAATTTCATTTTGTTAGATAGCACTCAGTGTTCAAGTCTGTCCAGATCCTTCTATATCTTAAGCCTGTCTTCTGGAGTGTTGGCTATTCCTGCCAGCTTGGTGTCATCTGCAAATTTGATGAGTTCCCCATCTATCCCCTCGTCCAAATCGTTGATATAGATATTGAAGAGCACTGAGCCCAGAACGGAGCTCTGGGGCACCCCACTACACACTTCCCTCCATGTAGATTAATGTAGATTAATACTTGATGTCTTTCATTGTACTCCATTCTGTTGACATTAAGGGGTTTCAAAATCTTCAATAATAGAAATGTCCACCACAACAATCTAGTGTTACTCAGAATTCGATAACAGACACCGTTCATACTGCATCCAGAGGACTCTGCCCTTGTTCATCATTAATCCACAAGACTAGACTAAGCTATATTTTCTATTTCCATGGTGGAGGAAAACCTACAAAACAAAACCTAAAAAGTGGCCATACACTTTTTAATAATATCACTGATTAGTAGATGATAACCTGTAGTCCTTTAAAAGGTTGAAAGGCTTGGTTGTGGTCCCCAACCAGAATTGTCCACCCCAAGTTTAGTGGAATTAATCCAGCTACATGTGCAAGCAAAATTAATTTCGATAGAGAATCATAGAAGAAAGAATGTTTCTGAAAAACTATTCATGCATAATTCTCTAAGATAAAGTAAATTTTATCTTGAGCATATAATGCATCCAACCTGATAATATGTTAACTGGAACAATATATCACATTTATTGTTAAATTTGCCATGGAAATAAGAACATGAGAACTGTACTGAATTAATCCAAAGCTAGCCCTATGGGAAGACATGCAGGAACAGAATAAAATTGCATTTCCTTTTTGTAGCATAATGCTTATCCTTCATATGTCTGATTTCCTTTTAAACTAATCTAAGTGAGTTGCTCAATATTATGTGAAGAAGAACTTCCTTTTATTTCTGTTTAATATTTAGCTATATTTTATCATCACTCTATCAAAGCAAAATTAAAAAAAAGTTCAGGTAAACTTTTGCCTCTCACCATCTATACTTTAGGACTCCTTTGCCACAGTTCCCCTTACTTCCATTTATCTAAATCAGAGAATGCCAAATGCTGTACCATTCCTCATGTGGAAGATGAGGTAACCCATAGATACTTTGGTTCACATTTTGCATATCTTTCCCAGATTGACATCATATTATACACCCTATTTTTTTTCCTTGCAGATGGTAACTCAGGTAACTATAACCTCAGCAATTCATGATTTATTATATGTGTAGAGTAAGGACAAATTTACTACGTTCACATTATCCTTGAAAAAGCTGATTTGGTCTCTCTTACATTAGAAATAGGTTTACAAAATGTTCATGTTAAAGATCCAGGTTGTTACTGTCCATATGAGAAGATTTATTTTCTTCACTTGTATTAATCTCTCCTTTTTATCTTTTCCTTCCCATTCTACACAGAATGGAAATGTCTGTTGTTCAGTGGATTTAGAATGTCTTCGCAACAACTGAAGTATAAACCTGGGACAATTCTTTTTGTGAGGAAAACTGATGCAATTTTCCACTTTCCAAACAAATGCAGTGTAAGTAAGAGGTGGAAGTTTTGTACAACAGACAATGATCTAAGTCTCTGAGGACGATATTTGGGAGTTGCCTTTGGGACCTATCACTACACTTGCTAGGCTTCTCTCTACTTTTACAGTAAAATGCATCTAAATCAATGGTTGTTAAAAGTTTTGAGTGTTGTAAATTACACCCTTTTTTGTCAAATCATTTGCAAATGCATTAAAATTATTCCATCAGTAAAATGCAGTGTATTGATTTGTTTAATTTTGTAGAAAGATCACAATGGAATTTCCTGTTTTATTTTAGATTTAGATCAAAGTTCTACAAAATAAGGCTGCCTGTGGTTTTGTCTCATATTATTGGCTATTTAGTCTGGAGGTCCCTGTCGAATGTATTTATGAAAATATGTATGTATGTACAAATTGCATAATACTTATATTTCATAGCTGTCAAACATTATAAAACATTCCAAGGTACATTTGACTTCTACGGGCTGAGAATAATCGAATCCCAGTCTATCTTTATGAAAAAAAATAAATAAGAAGGAATAATGGCACAAGTTTAATGAAGTGGCAAAAAGCATTTTCTTTTGCAGACAAATGATCTAGGAGCAAAATCCCAGAGTGGAAGAAAAAATACAAAATTATAAGGTTTTCATCAGCAGTGCTCCTGAGCTTAGTCAGAACATCAGGCCATGTTAAGTTTAGCAAAATGTTGTAGTTTACAAATCAAACAATAAATATTGAATGTAGGTGGAATTCATACAGGGTTGTGTAGCATTAAATAAAGCAATCAAAGGGCTTTACATTTACAAGATTGTATGTGAAAAGTGGTTTTTTTCATATTTACATCAATGTACTTGAGTTTATAATCTCTCTCCTCAGTAGTTGCTTTGGTATAATAACATCTACCATTCTCCATTGCAAATGATGTAATGAAAAAGTTCTTCATCTGTTCCACATTACAAGTTGTAAGGAAGGTGTAAATGTCACTGCAGTTAACTGTAATTTCAGTAGATCACATAATAGTCTCCCGGTTCCAATTTTCTTTCAATGTATTACATTCACCCTTGGCTCTATTTTCCCTCTTCTGACATTCACCCAAATGTAATGTATTAAGTTAGTTGTCTGTAAAATACTACTTAAAATCATAAGCTTGGGTCCAAATTGTAATTAAACATTTGAACTGTGCGCAAAGGTTAAGCTTGAAGGATAGATAACTGCTGTGAGTTTTGCTAGGTTAAGACTTTGGTATTACTAATACAAGTCCTGTCTCAGCCTAGAACTGACAGCTGCTGATATCCAACTGGTTTCCATGCCCAATTCTTCTCCTTCCACATAGCATATACTGTACAAAGTATGGCTGTATGGGAACTGAAAAGTGAAATTTCCCACATTCAGATGCACAGCCACAAGCAATGCTGAACATGATCTTCAGATCTATAAACAATGCAATATGGCACATAAAAAAAATATCACTGGATATAAATGAAAGGAAGACAAAGTCCCCCCCCCACTCTCTGCAAGGATTACCTTTGAAACAGAAGGCTGCTTACATTAACATAGGGATGTAGCCATGACTGAAAGTGAGGGGCAGGGAAGAGGTAGAGGCATCTACTGTAAATGATGCAAATAAGTGGCTAGAACAGAAATCTGGAAAAATGTCAAAAGCTTCTTCCTTCTCAGTCATTGAGGGAGAAAAGTCCATAGATGCAGCATCTCCTTTTTCCCTTATTTTACTAGAACCTTAGGTTCAAGATGCAAAGGCAGATACTGGCATTTTCTCACAATACATAAAGCCCCCTCAGAGAGGATGCTTTTGCCTTACTTCCCTTGAACAGGGGTTAGCATCTGTAGGATTTCATAAAGACTGAATAATATTTTGAAATCTTCAGTATTCATACCTAGTAGGAATTGTTTTCTTCCCTCAACACACACACATACAGACACAAACACAGAGAGAGGGGGAGGGAGGAAGGGGGAGGAAGGGAGACTTTGTTTTTTTCCTTCCCTTTCCAGTTGGACTTACCCCTTCTTCATTCTGTTCATTTGGTTTGGTTTGTCATAGTTTCTCCTGGAAAAAAAGAAGACTATGGTGTGTCCTCTGTATCTGGTGTCAGTATGTAATCCATGTATAAAAGAGAATAGTTTGTATATGCAAACAGGGAAAGCAATTAATTTTAAAAATCAGTGCCTTACTTTTCAGGCAATTAATTTTAATCGGTAGCTACTAATTCAATTCATATGAATTTAATTTTTTGTCCTCATCCTAATCTTTTTGAGGAATGTGGAATCTAGCCTATCTGACATCCATACACACATGCAAGCATGTTTCCTGCCTGAGCAGGGGGTTGGACTAGTTGACCTCCAAGGTCCCTTCCAACTTTACTACTATTATTATTATACATACAGTTAAGGCAAGAGCAGGTAAATCCTAGGTTTCAGCTGTATATTGCAAAGAAATCAGGCAAGACATGGTATCTTTATGTGTGTTTACAATCTTTTCTTCTATCTAATTTTCCTTGTTTTCAACACACATATTAAATTCATACTTCTCTTCCTTTTGGGAAAATTTGGTTGTTGCATCTGGACATTCCTGTTAAGCAGAAGGAAGGTGTCTTGCTGGCACTATTGCCCCTATCTTGAGTCACTGGGTTTTCAAAGCATTTGTGGTCTTTATTCTGCTTAATTACCTTGTATTATCTTTGATAAAACTTGGGGGAATATTCAGAACTAGATCCTGCACAGAAGTATATAATGTTTGCAACCAAGAAATAAAAACCTGACTCCTAAAAAAAAAAAAAAAAAGAGTGGGCAAAGAAGGCTGGTCTGCTGGGATGAAGAGAGGGCAGGAGCATGAAAAAGTGAAGATGGATCCCACCCCCTTTTTACATGTGTCATACATATGGATAAAGATGAGGTGGGAATTTGCACAATCTTTTTTTGTATAATTTTTATTATGTTTTTAAAAGATAATTTAAAACTGATATAAACTAATATAAAGAAAAAGAAAAGTAAGAGAAAGAAATGAAAGCAAAAGCTAAAAATGCAAAAAATGCAAAAAAAGAAAAAAAGATAAGATGCAAAGAAGTAACTTCCGATTTTCTTTATAGCAGTTATAAGTACAATAACTTATACTTAAATTTATTTCATACTGTATGGTTACAACTCTCTTCTCTCTATAATTTAATCTGTCTAACCATCAAAACCATAATTCGTAGGTCTACTTCTTCTCTTTCATGCAAAGAATGGGGTTTCCAGGCAGCAATAAATATAGATATTGTCTTTTCTTTGATCAAAAAAACTCAGTTCATCCATCTCAGCTAGTTCCATCAACTTCACCCACCATTTCTCCATTGTAGCTAATGATTAATCTTTCTATAGTTATCTATACAACAATCTCCATGACATTTTTTCCAGTTAGAACTTTGTACAATCTTGGGTGCCATCATTACTTTTTTGATGTTCACCGAAGATGAAAGGATAGGCAATATCTGGTTCCATATAAGTTTCAAGAATCACTGTACTAAAGAGATATTACTTAATATTAAGAAAGATCTAGGGTTGTGTACACACTATTTAATCTACACTGGGCATTGAAATTTACCCAGATATAAGTGATAACACTGCAATGCAACATAAAATGTCCTTTGATCAGTAGCTTTGATGCACATAGTAGAATTATTCAGTGCATTGTTTACTTCAATGAATTTAATGAAACGAATTCCCTTCATACATAAAATGAATGTAAATGTACAAACAATTCCCCATCACAAAAAAAAGGAAAAACAAAGGCAGCCCAATGTATGTAGGACTCCAGCTTTGCTTTTCATTTTTAAACTTTTTTCTTTCTTGACATACACTATGTATTGATTATATTTGCATTGTTTAACAATGGTATTATAAACTGTGTTTTTTAAAATCCTCAAAGGACATTTGTAAACCATGCCATTAAAGCATTTTGTAAACCATATTGTAAAGCCACTGATAATTCAATTGGAGGAAATAAAACCGTGCTTTGGGATGTAAACGGGAGTGATTTAAAACTTGTGGCATCTAAATAAACTCCTGAGTACAGCTCTTCCTGCCTCCATAATTTTGTTTCAGACTTGGTGTGTGCTGAATTTTGGAAAATTCCAAATCTGGGAACAATAATTTTAAAAACTCTTTCTTGGGCAATTTTCTTGATTATATCTCAGAATGGGGTAGGGGAACTATAGATCTGAAAGAAGTTAAGGTATTATGGGCTTTTTAATGTTCTGATCCTCAACCATTAGGCTACATTTCTCAATGGAGTGTACTTCACAGTAAATGTATCATATATAAATAATACATTTATTAAAAATAATCCTTGTGATATAGTAATTAATGAGATTTGATTTCATGTCTCTATTCAACCACAGAATTTCTCAGTGACGTTGGGTTTATATTATGGAGTTGCAAGAATAAAAGTTGGAGAACCTTGTATATTACTCTAGGTAACATTTTTTCAGATGCCATTATTAATAATTATTAAAGGAAAATACCACCTAACTGTGCTAGTTAGCTTGGGCCTCCAGCAAAGGGAGGGGGGGTGTCAGTGCAATGGAGGTGGTTGATTGAGTAATAACAGATCCCACCTCCTCCTTGCTCCGCCCCCACACTCCCCATGTGTTTTTGGTTTTAATGTTTGTTTTTAACATTTTATGTTTTAGCTTTTATGTAACTATAAGCCATCCAGAGTTACTCTATGGTAAGATGGGAGGACAATAAATTTAATAAACAAACAAACAAACACTTTTTTTATCGGAACCAAAAGCAGAATATCAGTATTTGCATTATACATTATACATTATACATCAATGAGTAATTGTAAGAATTTTCAATAGTCTAGGATCAACTGAAACATTTTCGAAAATTGATCAAACAGCCTGAGTAACAGCAGAGTATAATATTCTAACCTTGGGCCAATCTATACTAGTATTTTTTTTCTTTTTTACTATAATCCCTGGTTTAGTATGATGCACTGGCTGTACTCCTCAGTACATTTTGAAGTTGTAGTCTATTTTGTTCTCTGCTATTGCTTCTATAACAACTTCGTTGGTGATTGAAATGCACATACTATCATAGCAAATTTCTCTCTCCTAACTTCTCTGACTAGAGCAGAGGAACTATGTTCCATGAGCAGAAAATTAATGTTCTTTAAGCTATTTTTCACTATGTACCAACTTATTTATATTTCTGTGAAAAACATTAAGATGTATCCTTCATATACAATGCAAAGATATGCACTCAATTATTGGAATTTTTTGAAAGAAAACCCAGCATAAAATGGCAGATGAGGGAGAAAAAAATATATTTTCTTTATTAAAGTCTACTTTTTTAAAAAAATGTTTTGCAAAACAACCTCCATTCTGCAGCATTGGTATGGAAGCATAGAGTCAACGCATGTGTCAATCTTTATGTGTACACAATACACAGATGCCCATGTACATGCCCACACTCACACACATTTAAATAAACAGACTTCTTTCACATTTTCAGTACTGTATATAGTACTGTATATAGTATAGCTATATAGTATATAGCATTTGTTGGAAATGGTTCTCCAGCAATTGAAACATTATGTATTATTATGTGTGGTGATTATAAATACAATGGATACTGTATTGCATTCATTAATACTGTATATGTCCCCAGACCAAAACTGTACTTAAAAAGGATCCCAACACAGTGGTGCCTCAAAAACTAAAAGTTCTAGCATAGATCCTGCCATAGATATTCTGTAAGAATGCATGAAATTAATTCAGGCTACAACTGAATAAGATACAGTAAAATACCATGTAATGATAGTTTGGCAAATAGTAGAAACATTCCTGTATTTGCTCAAATATACACCTCATGTTTTCCGTGGAATGGGACAACTTACCATGGCCAACTGTAGCCAACCCACTGTGGGATATCTCACCAGAGGACAATTTAATAATTCAATTTAGTTATATATATATATATATATATATATATATATATATATATATATGTCTTTGGTTGTTCGGGTTTTCTCCCGCGTAAAATTGGAAGTGTCTTGGCAACGTTTTGACGAAGTCACATTCGTCATCTTCAGGCTGGTGTTTTTAGCTTCTTGCTTTGAGCAGCAATGATTTATATCATTTATATCATTTATATCACCAAACATTTATATCACCAAACAATTTTACGCGGGAGAAAACCCGAACAACCAAAGACCTATATACAAATACCCGCGAAAACCTCAGAAAACATATATCATTTAGACATATATATATATATATATATATATATATATAATTTTTTGTCATTCACATTTCATTTTGTCCCTCCCTTAGCATCCTTTCTTTAATAATTCTATTCCACCATGTCTTTAATATGAGTGTAACTCTTGTCCTTCGGCCAGTTGTCCCATGGCCATGGTGAAGTGTCTCATGGCGAGTTGGCCATGGCATGTTGGCTGTGGTGAATTAGCTGTGGTGAGTTGGCCGTGGTGGGTTGTACTATACAGGACAACTGTAAACCCAGCTAGAAAAGCACCTCCTTGTGTACATCAAAAGATCCAAACAATTAATTTAGTATTTCCAATGACTGTACATCTGCTTCTGTCTTGACTATGCAGTCGACAAATGTCCCCTGTACAGACCACAATTAACGTAGAGATGGGCAGGCTGCAGCCTGAGAATATCTCATTTATAGCCCCTGGAGTACCCTATAGTTGATCCATGCCAGTATAGCAGCAACCGAGGTGGCACAGCAGTTAGAGTGCAGTACTGCAGGCCACTTTAGCTGACTGTGTTCAGCAGGTCAGCGGTTCAAATCTCACCGGCTCAAGGTTGACTCAGCCTTCCATCCTTCTGGGGTAGGTAAAATGAGGACCCAGATTGTTGGGGGCAATGTAAATATATATATATATACATTGCTTACTGGTGTACACCACTTAGAGAGTGCTTGCACTTAAAGCGGTATATAAGTCTCATAAATAAATAAATAAACCCAGCCAAATTTCTGAGGTACAATTTTGCTCAATTTTGAGGACTTTTAAGGGAGTGTATTCTCTTCCCACTCTCCAATCCATCAAATTAAATGAAAAATGGGAACAAAATATTTGGTCCCATTTCTCCTTATGTATCGCCACAAATCCTTTGGCAGCTTGCCAACTGGCTGGGAGACAACATACAGTCTCAGATTAAAACAAGTTGCCTGTTCCTCCATTATAAATAAATGTGATTATAGTTGAAATCCAGCATAATAAATATCCTCCTCCTCCATCTCTTCCTGCTGCTCCATTTGCCCTTCACTTCCCTATAGTTATATTTCAGAGTGTCAGACAAGATTCTACTATAGTTGCTAGAGCATATGCTACTCTGTATTTGTACAACTATAGATAGGTATTTTTGTAAAGTGAGGCGAAGAACTTGATATTCAATAATTTCTGAGAGATACCCTTTGTAGAGTCCATCATAAATAAACACTAACTTGGAGAATTAATTGCTCAAATACTTTTTAAACACTTTCAACATTTTCAGTATGATTATTCATTTTGTGTACTAACTTCATGCTATACTGTGCTGGACAATTTTATATATTCTGTAGGAATCGGAACGTTTTGAAATATGAGTTGCTATTTGGAATATATATTCATGCTCTATAAATGGAACTGATTTTCTAAAAATCAGAGTTTAGAAAAAATTAAGAGGAGCACAAGGAGAATTTGACATGAGCATGAAAATACTAATAGGTATAGCCTGGAAGCTCAATCTAGTTTTATTCATTAACTGGTCAATACAATGACTATAAACTTTTCATTTTTGATTGGAACTTTCATAGACTATTCCATTTTGGAGTAGGATCATTATGCAAAGTGCAAAAAGGCAGTGTATTAAAGATAAAGCCAGAAGTGACAAATAAATTAAACTTAAATCTATTTTATTCACCATACTTTTGTATTTTTGCAAATCATCTTTGCGGTCCATCATGTCTACAGGATACTTCTTACATTGTTACTGAAACTTTTTGTTTTTGAGAATCATCAGTTCCATCCATATTGGTGGCCCACGGGCCGGATGCATCACACGCAGGCCACTCTGATTCCGCAAAGGCAAAAAATGTTGTGATACGTCATATGTCACATGATGCGATCGAGTTTGACACCCGTGATCCACACATTCTTCTTTTATATATTTACTTTGATATCATTTTTATTTATTCTCTCTATATGACTAAACAATTTCAATATGCTTTCACACTGATCATCCACTTTTCTATTCAATCTGTATTCATTCAGCATCTATTTATTCTGGACCCTATCTCTTCTTGTTTCATCATACACATTTCTGAAGTAACAAATGGTTACTGCCATCAGCTTAATTTTAAGTTTCCCTTGATATGATTTGGACATAGTGAGTGTAATTCAAATAATATTTGACCTGTCTAACAAATAAAAAAAATAGTCTACAGGTCCAAATGGCTCAGCTAGAACTTGCAATAACTTTTTTGTCCTTCTATGTTAGGGGCACGGTAGCTCAGTGGTTAAAAATGTTGACATTGTCAGTTGACAACCTAGGTTTGAGACCCAAGTGCTGTGCAATGGGGTGAGCTCCCGTTACTTGCCCCAGCTCTTACTTACCTAGCAATTCGAAAGCATGCAAATGCAAGTAGATAAATACGTACCACTTTGGTAGGAAGATAACAGCATTCCATGTGCCTTGACATAGTCAAGCTGGCCACATGACCACAGAAGTGTCTTCGGACAACACTGGCTCTCTTGGCTAAGAAATGGAGATGAACAGCGCCCCCTGGAGTTGGACATGACTGGGCAGGAGAAACCTTTACCTTTATGATAAATAGTTCATTGAGTCAAGGAAGAGAATAAGGCAGAATTATTTCAAATATATTCAGTAAAGAAGAAGAACATTGCGAATGTTTACACTTCTTTTTTAAAAATATATCCCTTACAGATGTGGTATGCAGTATTTTTATGATAGCTGATTATAGGAACTTTGCTTCTGTATGAAGATTTGATTGAAATTAATAATGTACTGTTTGAATAGCTTAATCTTTTTAATAGCAAT